ACACTACAGTAAATATTTGGCTCATTTCCACAATGTTAAGCCTTGTTCAGGTGGGCTGCAGTCTCCATCACCTTCCACTGCGGGTGGTGGAGCAGCGGCTGCCCAGTGTCCTGAAGACGATACTGCCACCTTTAATCCTAATAGGGATTTTCTTTTGCAATACCAAGCTGCAACCGTGTGCCCATGTGGTTGCGTCCTGGTCCCATGCAGTTAAATTGTTGCGTTTTCCAAGTGGCACCGTCTGTCAAACGTGACATGCTGTATGTTTTTTGCCATGGCGCAGGGCATCTTGGCCGTGGCAATGTATGCAGCACTGTGTGGCTGCGGTGCTGACATTGCAGCGGTAGAGGGTGGTAAAACCACACATCAACTGCGCAGTTTTACTGCCCCCTTACCGCCTCTGTGTGCAAGGCCTTAACGCTTGGAAATGGTAAATAATTGCTTGCCAGTGCAGAAAAAAATGACACCACCAATGATAGGCAGGCCACAGACAGTGAATGGTTTGATGGTCATCTGTGCCAATTTGTCCCCACCCAGCAAGAAATCCATCAACAGCTCACTCCTGATCACCTCGATCCTCTGTGTGCCTGGGACTGCTAGAGTGGGGATCAGGATGGAGAATGGGAGAAGATTGGTTTACTTTGAACTCTCCTCTATGCTGAACCCGGAAACACTCCGCTCTGAGCACTTCCAGGTTCAGTACCATCAAATCACAGAATCAGCATCACGTAAGCAGCAGATTGGGGTCTCTCATAAGCACCTCTGGCACTAGAAAGCTCTCCAGTATTTCTGCAGAAGCTGGAGGGCCCCAGAGAACAGCTGAGCACAGTGCCAAGAAAAATAGACATTGGAGAGAACAACAGTAAGTATTGCTTCCATTCAGGGTGGAGAAAGTAATACAGAATTCCGGAGTCAGTCTGCCCAATCACTGAGCTTGCAGAAGATTTTTAGGAGCCAGTTCCATTGACACCTAGGAAACCTAAAAAGTTAGGCGCCAGCACAAATTTCTAGGGGCACATTGGCCACCTGGCTCCTGGGATTTGTCCAGCCTTGCCTTACATACTCTGTGAAGCTGATATAACAGGGGGCAATATTAGGAATATATTACTTTACAGCTTGTTGGGTCCTTCTGTAATGGTGTGTGATTATCTCTGTGCTTTACATCCACCCTTTCTTCCTCCATTCCACCATATTATAGGATAATGTCTGAATGAGGAGCTCCTGTTAGAACAACTGGAATACCTCTGACAGGCCACATACACACAAAAAAACATTGTTTTGGAAAGCTGCACACATTTTTCTTTCATTTACACTCGGCTGTAAGGCCCCGTTCACACCAAGGTGGCATTGTTTTTGTGTGTTTGTGCGCGCGAGTTTGGCACTTGTGCGCGCACATGACGACACACGTTTTGACTGGCAGCTCAAGAAACATTGCGGTCAATGGACAAATGCGCACGAAAATGTGCAACAAGCTTCTGCTGCGCATTTCCATTGAGGTCTGGGGGGGGGG